GTCGATTTTCTTTAGTTAATATTCAGTGTAGTTTGTATTGAATAATGCACCATTTTTGCCTTGTTTAAAAGATTCAAGCTATTTGGCTTTATTTATTTGACTGGGGTCCTACAAACAATTCCGTGCGATGTCGTGCGTAGCATCAATGACTTCTTTTTAAAGCCCAACCCTGTGATGAAACCTCGACGGTGATTTTCCACGGGAAGTCCACACCGTGCTGGCGTGTCCGGGGGCAGTTTTTCGTGCCCAAGGGGCGGCTAATGTCTTATTTACCGGTGGCCGCATTGCCCGTGGCCATGCCAAGCCGCGATTACCCTCCATCCTGCTCTACCTGTTATCACTGCCTCGATTCTGGTTGTAAAGTATTTTTAGGACTTTTGCTTGAGGCTTTTAAGCTATTTTTACTGTGAGGAAACGTATAATTAATCATTTTACAATCCGACACTACAAACGACTAGCGTTTCAACATAAAACAAACAAGAATATAAATATGTTATAACAAGGATAATTTGTAGTTATATAAATTTTTCATTTGATATAATGTTAAATGGGGACGATTTTTTTTGCGCACTTTATGCGGCTGTACTTAACGTAAGAGGCCGGATTGTTTATTAGGTCAATGAGTGCGGAAACCGCAGACATCGTAGCAGATGTTGCTAATTGCCTTCAGCTTCCGTCTTCCGCTATAATAAAAAATTTCATGTCTGCTTTAATCGTTTATCTCGTCTTCGAGTATAAGAAATCACAAGTAATTTTGAAATTTGTATATATATATATATATATATATATACTGGAAGACAACTTGATTAATATCTGGCAAGACATGGAATATCTAAAACGAAGAAACAACAGGGGGCATCGGTGGCCGCAACGGTTTAGGCGCTCATCACTGTAAGGTGAAGGTCCTGGGTTCGAATCCAGCGGCCCTGCATTCGAATCCGACATACGTACAAATGGACTTTTTTCAAAAACACCGGCACCCAGAGGGCTGATATGCGGGGGAAAAAAAGAAAAAACAAGGTAACAACTAAAAAGTGTGGTGTTTAGTGAGCGTTAGTCAATGATTATTCGGAGAACGTGAGATGCGGTCTGGTGGAACGTAGGTTTGACTGGTACTCTCTACACGTTGACACATCTACACGGAAAACAAACACTTTGAGCCCTGATGATGATCTCAATAAAGATCGAAACGTTGGCACGATAAAGAAAATGTTTTTCTAAAACCTACGTCACACCAGACCGCATTTCACGATCTCCGAATAATCGTAACAACTAAAATTTAGAACCGAAGAAAACGGTAAAATTATTATTTACAAACCAGATAAATAAACTCAGAATTGAGAAATAAGTACAAACGAAAAATATGAAACAAAAAAAATAGGGACATACAAACAAATGATATCTTTTACATTAAGGCTTTTTAAACAATGTACCTAAAACGAAAACAAAAAAATTGTGAAATTGAGCTGGCTAGTCCGCAAGTTGTTGAACTGCTGATAGCAGTTTGATTGCCCGAGATCAACGCGTTGTGGCTTTACTAAGCATTTAGGGAAATAAGCGGGCGATGAAAGTTGAGAGAAATATAATAAACATTCTTCTTAAAAGAAAAAAAACGGCAAAATTTAGTCCTACCCTTTTTCTTCTTAGGTTGATTTTTTTCTTAATTACGGGGCTGTTTTATTTCAAATTGTAGAACTGTTAAACTTTGGTCTTTTCTATACTTTCGGGGCTTACCGGTCTTTATTCAAGGCTTTTCAAAGTTTTCAAGGTTTCAATTAACACATATAATTTGTTTATATAGCAATATATAGTCAAACATTTTTATGATTGGGCCAAATTGGTATGTTCAATAGTGATTATTTTTATTTAAATTGTTTACTTAAAACAACTATAACTTAAAACATATTAAGTTATTTGCATGAGTTTCTATATTTTTGTTTGCTTAATGCAATATCTGACTCTTTGGTCGAACCGACACGTGGTGCATTTCAATTTTTAAACATTTATTTTTATAGTAAATGTGCACTCCGTTATTAGCCTTTTAGAGAGGACTTAAACGATGGGAAAGTTTGCATCGGTCCGAAGAAAGAATGAGTTAATTGGGCATTAGAAATACTTGAAGAATTTTTATTTTTATCCGTACCTCTTGAAAATCAATCGTTTTCTTTTTTTTTTAGATTTTTAATGTGAAAAGTATGTGGCATCAGCGGTCAAGCTCACGACATCGGAATATCACTCAAACCGGATTGGAAGGGCTTGTCTTCTCATCTCCTTGTTCTTTTTCTACAGGCTGGACAAAGCGGAGAAGGGGTAAACTACAAGGCATCCACGGCCCCTAAGTGCTTCTAACATATTTTGAAATGGCCGGTTCCGAGATGGATTCGAAAGGGGGGATGTCCGTGTGAAATCAGGGATCCTAGGTAGTTTGGAGGAAAAAACGAGTTGAACAATCAGCTCCGCTCAACTTTCACCTCCAGTTTGACCCTTATGTAACGCCAGCGCAACGAAAGAAACGTCAGATTTATGGCCCTTCAGTAGGGTCCTGACCACTTGAAAGCCCTCTGCATTAGGCTACCAGTATAGTACTTCGTCCTTTTTAAACGTTCTCCCGTTTCACGACTCTAGTGGCCTGTTCAGAAGCAAAATATTACAGACTTTTCAGCTTTTTAAGTCTCGACTATCGTTAAGGCTTGTTTCTTCGTTTTTGGGCATCTGAAGAATGTTCAAGTGTTGAAACTGGTCCATGATATTATATAAAAGCCAGACAAGAGTCGAGAAGGAGTTAAAGGATGAATTCTTTTTTCAAATGTTAGTTGAAAAATTATGTTTTGGTATATCCTAGTCCGAATGGGTCCTTGTAGCTATTAATTAATGCCAATTTAAACTTAATTGCCAAGCCCTGTCTGAATATCTTGTCCCCGGGTCTGCGTAGGACGAGGGTGGGTGTACTATGTCTTGCATAAATAGAAAATATCTGGGTCGTTTAAAATATATATTCATCCTCTGTTCCTATTTTGTATACCCCTCCCCGTATGTCGTATGTCGGCTGGTGTGAACCTGTTAAAAGACGTGCGAGTAAATGTAATGTACAAATTCGCGTCGTAATTCACTTTTTTGTTTTTCTGCCGGACTACAAAACACACTATGCAGTTTATAATGAACATGGTCCGTCTGGAGATACAAGGTGAGAATATGTGTGCTCAGAGAGGATGAAATAAGATAAACAGTAATGAAGAAAACCACATTTCGTCGGGTTTTATAAAACCAATAAAACTAACTAAACAAGCCGCATGGTTAAAATAGCCTGATTTAATTATATCCTTTTTTTACAAACAATTAAATCAATACAAACAGAAATACAGCAGACCATGTACATGTACATGTAAATAAAATTGCCATACTATACAAACGGAACATAGAACGAGTCAATTATTGACAAACAAATTAATATTATAAAATACAATTCCTAAAACTTAACCATTGAGCAAGGTCGTAAAGATTAAAATAAGCACCAACTTTATCCCTCGTTTAGACTTCCTTATTCCACGACCTTTCATTTTAACTTGAGTGGATAGGTGAAGTAATGAATAAATGAAGACGCCTCCTCAAATTGGAAGGGTTATGGAGCTTAAACCGTACCCAGCACCCTTTAAGTAATCATCATAATCCAATTTATGAAATAATAAGCAGTGAAAGTCCGAATAAAACTTTTAAACGCCAGTATTTCCTATAACAGTCTCTTCATCATAACACATTTATTACGAATTTTGTACGGCTAAGAGTCTGAAAACAAAAAAAAATAAAAATTGAAGATAACGATAACAATTTACTGATAAACGTCTTGTTACTCTCATAACCATTATTTTTTATAATTCGTTATATAATAATTTGTAATATAAATTATTAATGGATTAAAAAAAAATTGCATTTCCCGTTTGAGTGTGTTGTCGGATAAAGTGAAGTTGTATCACTTAGTGCACTAAACAAGCATACATTTAAAATATATTTTAATAAAAAGTTACCTAAGTATTAGAAAAATGATCATGATCGCTATTTTGAATCGTTCTGAGTCCAAATAATCTCATTCATTTTATATATTGAAACCGATGTTAAAAAGAAGATTGAAAATGAGACTTATTTGAACCAAGAAGATCGCGATGGATCTAATTTTTCACAATGTTCCTCTTTACATTTCCTAATCCTATATTTAAATAATTTAGACCACGTACTGTCAGTCTGTAAAATAAAATTGACTTTCTAAATACTTCTCTCTCGTTAACAGCAAACCGGGTGAATAACTTTGTCAACGGCTTTTGAATTTTTTTGCAAATTGAAACGGGCAGCCGGTCAAACGCGCTGTCACTGTAAAACAAGCAGATCTCGTTTTACGAAGTTATTATAGGAGCTGTTATTAATAGGAACTGGTGTGTTTGAACAGAAGGAAACAACAACGAACTGAAAAACGGAACGGACATGAAGCGACTGCAACATAACTATAAGCGTATTATATATTAAAAAGAAGAAAGACACAAAACTGAAAAAAGACTAGCATATAGTACACAATGACAGAGGAAAGTTACGCTTTGCATTAATTGACAAATAAACGATAGTTTTTAACGTTCAAAAATAATTGTCTTTAATTTTAAATTAAACATGTATCATGAAAAGCTAATAATTCCATAAGTTATTAGGTTATATGTTGTCACTGATCAGCTATGCATATACCCGAATTTTTGGAAAAAATAAATAACAAGGTAACAGAAAAAATAAGTAAACGGCTGCCACTAAAATAGCTGAGATATCCAAAGAAGAAAAACGCCCTGTGGCCCTGGGAAATAAATCTACGTTTTCAACGCGGTTTAATTTACGGCCGTTTGGGGTGTACGGCGGTTAGGAAAAGCCGTTATAAAAATCATTTTCGACTGTCAAGTTTTCCATCTACGTCGCTCCACATTGTTCGAACCGAGAAGTCAAATTAAAGCCACTTTCGGCCCACTTACCGCAAACCACTCTGTCGAAAGGGCTCATCCAATCTGCAAAAAACAAACAAATTATTCATTTCATTTATTTACACAAAATTAAAGCAACAGCCATATTGGCAATTTTGATAGAGTCAGGGTAAGTTTTAAATTATTCATTTAGGAAAAGATGTTCAAACTATATAGACAATTTTGAAAGGATAGAATAAACTACAATATGAAAGGAAAATCCTAAAAACTACAAAACAGGTGCTTACTTTCTATACAAACCCCAGCAAAATTATGTTGTTTCCTATAATAAAGTTTTTCCCTCACAATAACAAGTTTTGTACGATATTAAAAAGCAAAAACAAAAAAAAACATTAGGAACAATAAGACTTCATTATGAATAACGCTGAAGAAAATCTTATTAATTAGCCTAAACCATCTTTATACATAGCCAAAGCCAGGCACGTATATCTGGTTATTACTATAATTTAATAATTCGTCTTAATTTTTAAGAATATCGATAAAAGTGTAATAAAGGTGTTAATATTATATATGTTTTTCTCACGTAAAGCCATAAACTTAATTGACTTTTGTTTGTGGGAATTATATTTTTAATTTCTCAATGGCTATAAGGATAAAGTTCCTGTAATATGTAAACCGCTTTATACCTACATGTTTTAAAAATAATTTTTAATTAATTGTGGGAGTATATCATTTGAAAATTGTTTAGAAAAGGAATAAACTGGCTAACAATGAGATGTCGTGGATATTATTGTAACTATGTACCTTTATCGCATTAATTTTAATCGGAAAGAACTTTTATAATTTTAAATTATTTTGACTAACAATTATTTATATTTCCTATTTACTAATAATTTATTTCATTTCCAATAAAAGTAATTCCTGGAACAGAACGGCTATAACGTCCAATTACCTAATCATTTATATCCATCAGCTAACTAAAAGGGGTTAATCTTACTTTACAAAACTTAATCCATATTAGTCACAATTAAAATTCAATGGGATATGCCGGGATTCGAACCCAAGTCCGCAAGTGTGGCATGTACGAGTCGGACACATTTACCTCTCGGCCATGCGGTCCCAATTAAAATAATTTAAATTCAATATTTTTAAAAACCTTTGTAAAACGAATTCGGCCAATAAAAATTAGTACATCAAAGATATTTCACGAAAGAAAGAAAAAACAATGAGGGAAAAAGGTTGTTAAAGTTAGTTGATCGTCATAGTTAATTGGTATTGATCATAAAAAGATCGATTTGGCGTTTACCCAAAAAGGAATTTACACTTTATTTGAAGGGAAGTAACCATTTACATTTGAAATTTATTCTAACAATTTGAATTATTCAGAGGAAATTATTAATTAGACTTATCTCATTGATTTAATTTTAAACGAACACAGTTGAATATAATTACCCTTTTATGAGCAATTTATGTTGTTTTAAATAGCTGAAAAAGTGTTTATTATATTAATTTATTTTTGTTGGTTTTAAAGACAACTCTTAAGTTTATATTAATAGATATAAATCAAAAACATCGTTATATTTTAAATTAAGTAGGACAAAATAAATTTTATTATTGCACATTAACATTAACCTTGATTATGTAATAAAACTCAATTTTGATTTGATAAGTTATTAAAAAGTCGATCATTGATTGTTGATTGAACAATAAACCCCTAATTTATAACAATAAACATTAAAGATCTCTTTGGAAAATATATCGCTTGGGGGCTTTTAAAATGATGTTTATTGTCGTTCCAGAGGGGTGTAAATTTAATGGTTATTGTATATGTTGACTAGGCCCCCTCCCCGGTGACCACGTTGTCCTTTGCCCGGGCCACCACGTGAATAATTAAGAAACTTCGCCGAACTAACAACCACCTCTAGGGCGGCGTTAAACAATTTGCCCAGGGATAAAATATTTAAATTGACAAATTGAAACCCCACGGCGACAATGCGGAAAATTACCAAATAAAAACACAAAAAAACTTGATACTGGTTGGCTTTGGCCCTGCAATTGATAACTTTGTGATTATACAAATTTGTTAAACACCAAGTGAAACCATTCACAGAGGTCAGCTTTTGAAAATTCAAAAAATTCCAATATAATACAAAAACAACAATACAATTTAAAACAAAAAATAATTTATTATGTATTACTACAAAGTTCATCAAAACGGAATAATATTTATAACAAATTCTTTTAAAAAAATAATATTTAAAATCTATTTAGACAGAGATATGCAAATAAAAATTAACCTCGTTTCATACTTGTTTTATGACCGCAAAAAATTTAACGACCCAATTAGATAAATGACATGCTACACGATAATTTCGCGTATTAATGACGTCAATGAAAAATAAAGCTGTAAAATGTTCAATAAATTCATGTCTAATTGTTTTAGTGAGACCTAAAATAATAAACTGAAAATTTGTGAGGAAGCAAGAAAATTTGTCTGAGATATCATGTTATAGTTTGATGAAAGACATCAACACAATCATTAAAATATAATTCATCTAGGTAAGTTAAACTACAATTGCATATGACTTTCAAACGTTATAGCTGTACAAATTGATAAGCTGACCTCAAATTTTGAAGATCTCTTTAAATTAATTGCTTATATCATATTGTTTTCACAGTTTGCAATCACAGTTAATTGGGATGTATAATTGTTGTAATTTTAACATCACAAATGCAAATAAAACTTTACTACATTGCTCATTAATATTTATGTGATTATCAATTCGAAAACAGTTACATGAAAAAAATCAGATTAATCTCTGTGTATTTTTGATGGAGGGTGTATGGTTTATAAGCGTGTTGTACAATTTTATTTAATATTATATTGGAATGAAACCTAGTATCTTAAAAAGAACTTGTTTATGAAAGAAGCGATTAAGATAAAACTAAACGATATCATTGTTTTAATGCCTGTAAAAACGTAATAATAATAATTGATAACCATTATGTCAATATTAATGATCTTAATGAATAAATTACGCATCCGATAACATTTTTTGCTCGTTTTAAACATTCGTACATATATTCGTTATCGCTTATTTATGGTATGGTTGTTTTCTTCATTGATGCTAATTTTTCTAGTTTAAAGATAACCATTTTATCTTTACGATTTGTTTACATTTTAGTTTTTTGAAGAGTTGAGTTATATTGTATAATTTGAGTTGTTGAATTATTAAGTTTAAATATTGTTTTTTCTTACCTGTTATTGACATCCATGGGTATCTCGGAATGTCCGGCATGGGCTGTCCAGTGGCCGCGGAGGCGACCTGCGTGGTACACGAGCTGAGAGGGTCCGCAGACGCCGCGGCCGCTTGGTGGTAAAACTGCGCCGCAGCGGCCATCGAGGCGGAGGCGGCAGAGACGGAGGACGACGTCGAATTCTGGTGGTGCAAGGAATAATTGACCATCGAGTCGGCCGTAGGAACGTTTCCCGTATACCTGCACGACTTGTCGCCCCCAGTGGCTGCGTCGACGACGGCGGCCAAGGCGGCCGAACTGGGGCTGGAAAAAGCGCCCATACCTCCGGGGGCGGCTCCGGCAAACGCGGCGAGTCCTGCCGCCTGCTGACCGTGGTGGTGATGGGCAGCGACGTAAGGGTACATCCTGGACGCCGAAGATACCAGCGACGGAGGAGGAGAGTTCGAAGACGAAGACGAATTATTAGTAGCCGTGCTGCTGTAGTTGACCGCAGAACTGTCGCTCCCCGACGTTATCACCGGATTCAACAGCTGATGATGGTACTGTTGATGGTACTTCGGGAGCATACTATCTATTATGAACTTGCTCATTGTTTACACCATTTCACGACAACGGCACGAATACGAGTCCCGACTACGACCGCGGTTTCTAAAAAAAGGGAGAAAAACAAAAAAGGGGGGAACAACAACAATAACAACGGAACGGTTAATGCGGGCTTTAAAAAGGGGTGCGCGGCACTTGTATAGCGAATCCTTTATGGCTCTTGAGTTGTGTCGGAGAGCCGATGGCTGTATGGTTAGCGGTATGGCGACTCGCTAACCCCCACCAGCTTTCGCCAAGCCGGCTCGGCAACCAATCACAAAACGCCGCTCTTTCACTCTCCGCCAATCATCATCCGCACCCAGAATACCCTGCGCCACGTCTATCCGTCCTTCTCGAAATCCTGCCCTCTCTTTCCTTTCGATCCCCTCGCCGCCGGCCGCGCGCCCGCCACTTCACCACTCTCTAATATTAATCGATAAACACACTAAATCGTCCCGGACTGCATCAAAAGGCAGTTAAACTAGGGCTTCATGGGAGGTGACAATAAAACGCTTTATCGGCCCTCGTAAATATGATCGGTACGCTTTTACCGGAAGGGCGAAAAAAATCTTAACGATCCGCAGTTGTCACCCCGCAACCCCGGCCGCCGACCGACCCGTTGCACAGGTCCCGGAAGGCGCAAAAGAGGACCACGCTGTACAGTAGATATACATATATCCAAAGAAAATAGGAAAACATGTACTGAAGTTAGAATTAAATAATATATTTTACATATATTAATATTAGCAATTAACATTAATATAAAATAAAATTGAGCTAAATGACGTATATATTATCGTTATGCAGAGCACTGTTGAAGACTCAATAAAGAGTGGAAATCTTAGCAGAGATATAACAATACTCTTTTAATTGGAACACATCCCCAAAAAACGATAATCTGGACACTAGTCGAAAACCACTCCTCGTGGTAAAACTTATTGCCTCAAAACTTTTTGAAACTAGTCAACAAAGTTTTTATTCCTAAAAACGGCCCAATAAAAATATACGAGGGAGGACAAGAATATGAGAAGAGAAGGAAGAAAGGGTTATTAATTTTGTACGTTTGAACTTCAGTGTTTTTATAGTTTGGTTTTTATTTTGATCGCCTTATCCTCAGGGCACAATAAGCTGGGGAATGCTGGGTTAGTCTCGGTGTATTGTCTCACCCTGACCTTGACCCATAACTGAAGATGACGGAAAGCCGAACGCGTCAGGGAGACCGAAACAGGGTTGATAAGCAGACCACGCAGATCCCAATAGGAAATCTTACAACTTAAAATATCTCGCGGTAAACAACAGCTCAAATTACGCCCACGTTTACTACAAAATACATTAAATAGGACAGACAAAAAGAGCCCTTAAAATATATTATTACATGATGAGAGTCCTAATATTAAAAAACGTCATCTCTCATAAAATAAAAAATAGTGTTTTAGTTTTATTTCAGTTACCTTTACCGCACAGAATTAGAATTTTTGAATTGCGTATCTCATTTTGTAAACATGTCAACTCCTTCACAGGTCACTGTATAAAAAAATGAATGATATATTCATCTATCAAGTAAAAGTGGAAGTTTGCAGTCGATATTCCACAACACGCACAAGGTAATCTACTGTTGATAACATACTGTTTTAGGGTGTTAAAAGACCTAAGTCTTTAAAGCCCTCATTAAAAATAATGATAGCTGTAACAAAAGTAATCGAAAGTATGTATTACAAGACACGTTCAGTCGGTTAATTGCATCGATTATATTAGTGGACATAATCAAAATTTAGCATTTTATGTACCACATCATGTTTAATTTAGTTCATTATTTTGTTCAATTAATTTATTCCAGTACCAATATCAATGATGATATGTTTAAAATACAAACAACTGGTTGAATACGAAGTAAGGGAAGCGACAAGAAGAAGAACGAGTATGTCACTTTGCTCCGTTTACGTTAAAACGTACAATTAATCACAGGAAATCATTCTCTTTTGGTGTTTAGTTCATCCTGCAAATATTTATAATGCATTTGCATGTTTAAAGCATGCAAATAACGTTTAATAGGACATACATTTTAAATATAAATAAAATGCATGCATGCATGAAAAAAACCATTAGTGATATTATTCATCGCGTATATTACATTTATTCGTTGCAATGAGTAAAATAGAGATATACATATAAATTATATAATGCCAACATGAACAGCAACCATCCAGTGACGGAAGTCGCTAGTACATCACCTTGTTGAGATCGATGGGCAAACGAAGGTTGTCAAAACCTACGATTCAGTCTCCTGCGAGGATTATTATCAAGTAAGTAGCGGATGACAGGTTTTTGACAAAGATATTCGGATGATAGTTCAGAATGGAACCTTTCGTTACAGAATTGGGCTAACTGAGTGATCTCCCTGTAGAAAGAAAGATTTACTTCTGTGTGCAAGTGTGGGTTGTAAACATAGAACGGCTCGTTGAATATTGTTCTGGGGATTTTAGATTGATTTCTTATAGGTGGAACGACTATCGGCGAACAAGACTGTCTCGATATCGAATTCATTGAAAAGTTTAACAATTCTGTGGGTTGTAGTTGACCATAGCTAGTTCTGTGATAGACAGTTGACCTCTGAAATTTCTATTAGGCACATTAATACGAATGGAAGAAAGGATATCATGAGCATTATGAAAGATGTTCCAATAAATATTTGGATTCGTTAATTTTGATTTTTTCTCAATCAGAAGTAGGAATCAAGGATAAGATCGTGGGACGTTTTGACGTGATCTTTATCAGAGAAATGGATTACAGTATCATCGGCAAAGGTATGCGGGATAGTGTTAGATTTTGTAGGTAGGATACACGTGTAAAGTGAGAAAAGCAGATGAGCGAGAACGCTGCCCTGTGGGACACCTGCAGAAGATTTTGACGTTTTGTAAGATTTGTGGACTACGAAACAATTGTATAAATATGCAAAAATTGTATTGTTGAAAGAAAAAAAAAGTAAATACGAATTTTTAAGGATTTAATTTTTTATGATAACATTGAAAAATCCATGATGAAAATTAGCATTTGAAACTATTGATATACCATTTAGAACAGAATGCAAAAAAGAATGTGTAACAATTATAGTATGTTCTAAATTTCCCGCTATTCAAAATAACTAACTTTAGTAGAAAACAAACAACGAGCTTCAGCAAGAAAATAAACATGACTTTAAATATCGTTACAATTAAACATATAGTTAAATATCGTTAAAATATATGGAGTAAAGTAATTTTTTTTTTGATCTTGTGTTTCCACATTAGCCATAGGATTACAGTACGTTTTCTCCTCAGTATTGAGAGTAAGCAGTAGTTATAAATAGATTAATAAATACATTTAAATAGAATAACTAAATTATAATTAAATAATTTACACACAAATTAAATCATAAAGAGTAAAGTAATTTCAACAAGTACAAGTCCATCTACCAGTGGGGGGGGGTCAGAGTGCTTTACAACACTTCTTTCATATTTAATTTATGTAAATGCACTCACAGATTTGTTGTTAACAACGATCCAGATTTCAAGCATTACACGCTCATCATCAGCAAAGCCAGAAAGTGGAATATGGAATATTTTAATTGATTTTTTTTCATCTAAAAATTTTCTAGCATTGTATAAATTCATAATTTTTTTTCCCACATCCTACATGTATTTGTAAAATTCAAACAATGTTTATAATACCCAAGCTCTGAAGATGATCTCATTAAAGATCGAAACGTTGGCACGACAAAGAAAATTTTTCTCCAAAGCCTACGTCACACCAAACCGCATCTCACGCTCTCCGAATAATCATTGACTAACGGTCACTAAACACCACACATTAGCAACAAAAATAATTCCAAAAGTTTTTTTAGAACTATTAATGTTTCATAGTTCTGTTTTACATAATTACAGCATATTATTAGCATAGAAGCATTCCAATATGAATGTAATTTGCAGTGAATATTTCGTAACGATAATTTTGGAATAGTTGAACATTCTTTAAATTGCAATATTAAATATATAATAATAAAATAATATAATAATATAAACTTCATGAAACGTTTCACCCTAATTCTGAATTGATTAGTGTTATTTATCAATTAATCCTGTCAAAATAAACCATTTCATGAAGTAAAAGAAAAATTGACAAATTTTCAATGATATTGGTTATTGGTTTTTTCATTTCATCAAACATGCAACAATGATGTGATCACCTTTAAACTTAATGAATGAACAACGAATAAATCCACGTGAAAAATAAAGATTTACCCAGTGAAGGTTAAAAATGGATCATTCGCTAGAATTTATTATAATTAAGAATTTAGTTTCACAATGCAAAAGTTTTTAATGCATGGGAACCTTGTAGAATGTCAATACGGTTTTGTAAGTAAAGTTCCATTTGGACGGTATGTTTACTGTTTGTAGAATATTTTTAGGGTTGTTACAATATCGTTAAAACGCGCGTTAAAATTGTATAACTACAATTTTAATCGTAATAATTAAACGCCTATTATTATGAGAATCTGACATGGTTTTTATTTTAGGTTGATAAGATTAATCAGAAAAAAAAACTTCATACATACAATATGTATCGAATTTTAAATACTTGTCCGTCCTGGATTTGTTCTGTGAAAGGGGTCCGCTGGCGGAAAAGTTGGGGAAGCCCTGCGTAAGATAATAGTTTTTTACTTGGTTTGAAAGAAATTAGTACATTTTTACCTAAACAATCTAGGTATAATCATGTCGTCAGCAGCCTATAGACATCGATCTAGTTTTATCAAGAGAAAACATGTGAAAATGCATACATCCAGCATATAACATTCAAGCATTGTGTCGATATTTTAAAGCAATAATAAATCAATAGCATAAAAGTAAAGAAAAAATGCTTCTTTCTATGGGTCACATTACTTAAAAAAATGTTTTGAAAATTGTAAACTATTATACCAAAAGAGACCAAGGAGTAAAAGGTAAGATGTAATAAAAATGATGCACAGTTAATTCAGTTTATTTGTTATTAATTTGACGAAAAATAATGTAATTAATCTGTCAAGTTATTGCCTCTTGCCAAATTCTTATGGCTTTCTTATTACATGGAAATCTCCCCCTTTTAGATTTGACCGTACAGAGAGCGCATGTAATGTATCTCTTTGTATTCCCATCTAAAAGGAAAAGTGATGGGAGGTTTTCTTTTTCAAAAGTGCCACAGGGCGGGAATACTTCTCTAGAGCCGGCCGGTTACGGTTTTGCCTGAAACAGCGATTCCCCTTTTATTTTCAGCAGGATTCCAATAGTAAGGTGGTCGATTCGAGCGTCTTCTTTTCAAACTAGAACACCTCACGTTCGAAGTAGATCCCAGTTGATGTACACCTGTAGATATGGCGCCTTTTTGTTGCAAAAATAAAATTTCGATTTCTGCCAAATAGTGCACTGTTACATAATAAATATATTTGTACGTAAATCTATGATACATACATGTAGGGCAATACATGTCATTTATTTTAAGTTTAATAAACATTGTTTTAATATACGTGATTTTCCGGTTTGAAAAGTAAGTTCTTATAATAATAAAAAATATAATTAATTAAGGTTTTTAGTTGAGATAAAAAAGTCAATGGCAAGAGCGGGATTCGAACCCACGATCTTCGGCTTGATACGCCGCTGCTCTACCACTTGAGCTATCGTGACCTCGATCCACTCGGACACTAACTTCCCATCTCAACCCCACCTTTTGAATTTTCCCACTCCTTTTTGCCATTTTTCAAATGTCGTGTAATCAATTTGATTCTCGGCGACAAATGAAATGGCCACGGAGAGCTTTAGTGAAGGATACTTCATTTTAAACTTATTAAATTCACTAGTTTCGTGGTCCGCTTGACCAATTAATATCATACAATTAATTAAGGTTTTTAGTTGAGATAAAAAAGTCAAAAGTTTGTAAGAAAGAAGTCAGTTCAAAAGGTGTAGTTGAGATGGAAAGTTGGTGTCCGAGTGGATCGAGGTCACGATAGCTCAAGTGGTAGAGGAGCGGCGTATCAAGCCGAAGATCGCGGGTTCGAATCCCGCTCGCGCTATTGACTTTTTTATCTCAACTAAAAACCTTAATTAATTGTATGGTATTAATTGGTCAAGCGGACCACGAAACTAGTGAATTTAATAATAAAATACCTAATTCGGCTTAATCTCGCGTTTTGATTCAACTCAGACTCAACTTCTTGAAATAGAAAAGAACGCTAGTAAAAGTAGATTCAAGTTAAATTAAAGCAAATTACTGTTACAGAAATGTAAATAATGGAAAACTTCAGGTGTTTTTACTCACCATATGCAACAAAAAACCTCCTATAAACCTCTGCCCAACTCTCAACAATAAATAAATAATTTCAGGTTTTGGTTTTTTTCGACTTAGGTCCACTAAATTGCTTATAAACTTCGGAATTTCGGAAAAATCTACCTTGTTTCACTTGAAAGGACGTTAAATTTGCTGTAACTTATGTACATTTCAGAATTGATGAAAAAACTATTCAAAAAATGAAAAAACACACATGCATTGTAAATTACCTAAAAAGTTCCCCATTCAATTAGCTTCCAGCGGTATACTCACGTTTTTGGATTGTGCTTATGCAAGGCCCAAAAATTTCGCATTTTGTTGAGAAAAAAAAACGTGTCGATGAAGGGGTGCATGTTAAATTTTTCCAGGAGGGGGGTTGTTGGGTGAGTAGAAACACCTCCTGAAATTTTCGATTTTTTTTTGTATAGAATCGAATGTACATAAATATTGTGAAAACACCCAGTCGTTGTTAGGACATATTCTTTGCGCGTAATTTGTCACCATGAAATTTATTCAACCAGACTCTGCGGAAGTGACAAATCTATCTGCGGCCATTTGGAGTCACAACGATCCAGATGTGCCAAGGTGTACCGAAGATTTTCACAGGTTCCATTCTTTTATCCAGGGCGGATTTTTTTTTCCACCTCGGAAACCACGCTTCCTGCGTGTTTCCTTGTACACCTGGCACCTGTAAACCAGCAACTAATATTCCGGTCTCAGAAAGAATATTTAATGAGATGAATTCAATAAATCATGTCTGCCTATCAATAAATGGAAACAAAATTTTATTGGGATGTTTGCAAGTTAGTGGATATAATACTATAAAAATTAATTTTTATGACAGAGCTGCAAACTTGAATAAATTTTAGGGACTGCCAGACGATATTTTAATCTTTACCACCCCAAGATAAAATAGTTTAATTATAATTAAGTAAAGGATTTTGTAGATAAAACTATTGAGACAATACTATTAACGAATCACTGTAATAAAGTTATTATAATTACCTCAATTAAGCAAATTTGCCACAAATACTGGCTGAGAAGAGACCAATAAATTTACCCATTTATAGAGTTCAGAATATTATAGAATTACATTATTATAGAATATAGAATTACAATTACTTAGTTAAAACATTAGTTAGAACGAAAAATTAAACATCCAAACGTTTCCAAACACATATAGATAAAGGGCAATTGCTAAGTAAGTCATCTCAATGGAGAGTAAATTTAATATTTTTTTACTCATGTGGGATAATTAGTGTCGGAATTAGTAGCAGGTCCAAGAAATATTACAAAAAGTGAAAGTAATAGTTAGTTATACATGCATACTTTTGTGAAAAGTCATTTTGTATGATGAAGTACGCAAAATTTCAACGTAGGTTATTATTAAGTGATCTACATACATGCAACGCAAGATATAAATATGAAAGTCCAGTTTGATCGAATATTGACACAAAAGAAACTATTTCATTTTTACATTATTACAAATTTCATCATTTTATAATTTCATTAATTGTTTTCAGGATCAGAAATAATGTTTTTAAATATAAAGCATGTAAAAATACCACCTTTTAATATATAATTTTTTTTTTTTTACTTTTTGGGGTTGAATATATTAAAAATGTAGTATTTAACCCGGCCATCCCAACCTGATTTGGTTTACGATTTGGCTATTTTGTAAAACGTTTGCCAACCTCGCTATAGGGGATATGTGATTATGAAATTAATTTTAATTAAAGACGAAGTTTAAAAAAAATTGATTAGTGGTATACCAGTCGATTAAAATTGTCGAAAGCAGTTTTATCCTCTCAGGTCTGTGCACTTTTTGCTATAATTTAGATCTTTGTAATACTCAAAGAAGAATATAATGTTTAGCTTATTTATACATTTTGTAATGGATTTACCTATTTGAGTATTACTATTGGCAACTAGTTAGTTTTGAATTTTACAAACCGGCGTCGTAAATAAAAATTGGGAATCCCCCTACTGTATTTTTTTTTTCATTAAATATCTTCTTTATTATTTAGTGTAAACAGTGATTTGAAGAGATTATGTTTTAGTATTTGCATCCGTTTGAAATTGAACACCAAAGCCAGCATTTTTGCACTTTTGTAAACGCAAAAATGCATTATAAGTTGGCAAAAAATGTTACGTGCTGTGTACGGTAGTAAGGCCTCAAAAGAAACACAGCACTTACATTTTTTAAATTAATGCTTTTCCTAATATCGCATAAGCTAAAAGTTTGTTTTTCTTTAAAGGCATCCAAATTAAGGAACGATGTTAATGAATTATGACAATTGTAACAACGAAAACATTTCTGTAGTTTAAAGTCGATTTTCCCTCCTCTGCATGTTTTGTACTACATTTTTAGTTTTCTTAATATTTAATCTTATAAAATACCAATTCGCAATTGTTACTGTCAGTATCGAACAACTTGAATCCGTAATATAGTATATACACACCTCTTGGAAGCACAAGGTGGAAGCACCTTATTTCGATTGTTACAATTTTCGATCGTAATAAATGATAGAAAAAAGGTTTTCACAAACATCTTCCTTAAATCGGAATGTTCTGAGAAATGGTTTTAGTGGAAGTCACCATAGCAGGGCTATTCAGAAGCAGTAAAAATTTATACGGCCGTTTAGAGAACATAACTACCCAGTTATGTGCGTCTCCTTCGGGACCACTAATGTCCTTAATTTATTTGTTGTTGCTTTTTTTTTTAAATTCGGCTTGGCTTTTGGAAAAATCGCCCTGCTGACAAGTTTCTTACGTTTCTATTTTCTAATGATTCATTGCGGCTGGTCCGCTTCATTTCAGCGTCGTTTTAGAATCAGCATGAATATGTAAATGTAATAGGTGTAACAATAAAATAAACAAATCGGAGGGTCGTAAGACAAAACTTCCTGCGTTGAAGTGACAAATATTCTTATTCAATCAGGCACTAAAAATTGTTGACATTCTCAGTAAAAAATAGAACTTAATTATCCATACATTAAAAAATAAAACAAACATGATGAATTAATTTTGTATTTGTTTATTCAAGTACTATATAAATTATTGTTTCGTATGATTTAGTACATATTTCCTACAATAACATTCGCATATTGCGAGGGGAGGAAGTGTGAGATATGTACGGTACGTGCCGTGTTGCCTTTTGCCTGTTACCAGCACGTGTTAGCTGTTAATCTCCAGATGTCAACATCATCAAAGGGGGTTATTCAACATGCATTTAAGAGGAGTTCTTTTGAAGTCGGCTTGAACACATACGACATGCCGGACTGTGGTTTCGCATTTGTAAGTAGTTAATTGCTATTAAGACGACAAAAAAATGGACAATCATACGAAAATTAGAAAACATGCAGTTAGAAATGGAAAACTAAACGATGTTAATTTTTGCTACATACCACCTTGATGAATACCTCTGTTTTGTAATCCAATAAGGGCATACCTGGAACAAAAAGAACAAATTGTCAAATCATTTGTTTCCCTTGAAGGCTGAGTATAATTTAAATAAAGAGATCAAACTGTGTTCTATGTAACGTTTTAACTGCACATTATTTATTTAATTTTTTTAATTGTGTGGATCTGGTCAACATTGAAACAGTCCTGTAAGCCAGGATTACACAAACAGGTACATAAATAGAACGTGGCCCAAGAATGTAATTATACATTAAGTTCAGTTAATATTCGAAAATATGAGCAACGACTTTAACAAACTGAATTGGTTAACAGTTGAGATAAAGTACGCTATTTTATTGTTTTTTATGAAAATATGAGGGAAGATTTTTACAAATTATCTTCACAATTCTATTGAAAAATATGCAAATCAATTCTTTGTATTTAATGTATTTAAAGCTGGCTTTGTAATAATGCCGTAAATATTAGACCCCCATTAGAAAAAAACTGAGACAAATTGCAATTTTTATTTATATTTATGTAAAATGTTGTACCAAAGATTCTTTTTATTGTTTTACCTTGTATTGCTATCATTATTTTTACTAGTAGTTTCAACATCTTAATGGGTAATTTTCTAATTTAAACAGAATTTTAAGCAATTAAACTCTAATTTTATACTGGTGATAACTGACCTTTGAGAAAAATAGGGGCACCTTTTCTGCAAGCGCCATGCCTATCTGTCAGTATTTACAGAACTCATAAAATCTTACTTAAACATTAGGCAAGATCTTTGTTTGCCTAAGAAGGATGTAAACATAATAAGCCAATTTGTGGAAAGAAACGATTTCTTTTAGAGAGATCCCGTGAAAAAGGTCAGTTTATAAATTGTACCAAATGATAAACGTATGGTGTTTGTCCAAGTTGTAATTTTAATTTTATGTCATACCTCTACCATAAACGACAATATTCACTCTATCGTATGTTAAATGGATGATAAATCTAAGTCAATGTTAGTTTTGTTTAGATGTCATACCTATAAATGACATTATTCACTGTACCATAAACAACAATTTGGCATCAATACAATTGAACAACCAATTACTTGAAAATAAAATAAGAAAGAAATTAGTAAATAAAAGAAGCCAATTTGTACAGAACCGCTCTATAGCTGACAGATAAGAGGAAAATGGTCAACATAAAAATTTTGCTTTTGTTAAATAGATTATCTTTGCTCTACAATTTTATTTTGACACCATACCTCCCTAAACAACAACAGTCAATGTAATAAATAATTACTTGCCAACAAACTGATAACTGATAAACAGTCGGTCAAAATAAGAAAGATATAAAAAATTAACCAAATTATGAAAAACCCATCTATTTCTGACAATAACAGGTAAAAGGAAAACAGATCAGCTTATAAATTTTATTGATTAATAAAAATATTATCCATATTAAAGCCATAATCATAATTTTATGTTGATATAATAATTCTGAATGATCATACTGACTAAACCAAAGCAATTCTTTTTCTACAAACCCATTATTCGTAAATTTAAAAAAAAAACAATTTTTGGAAAGACTCGCTCTATTTCGGACAGATAAGAGGAAAATACTTAAAAACGTTGCTTTTGGTAGATGTATTGTGATTGATTTTTGATTCATACCTCTAATAACAATATTCACTGTGTAATAAGGAATTATTTGCCAACAAACTGATAAAAGCCAATAGTGAAAAAGTAAAAAGGAACTAAAAAATATACTTAATTACGAAAAGTACAATTC